GCCCCGTCCCTTGGCAGAACAGGAGGGTTGGATAGAATGACCCCTAGAGTCCAATCCCGCTCTACATCCTCCACTTCTCCGTGAAGGCAGAGAAGCCGGGACACAGGCAAGCAGTGGGCACATCCCTGGCAGTGACTCTGCTGGTGTCCAGCCTGAGAAGCTGAGTCTTTGCTTTCCATCCCTACCTCGCCCCGGCTCCGGGTGCCAGAAGTTTCCCGCCAGCGGCTGCTGGGTTTTGCCCGCCTGGTTCGTGCCCCCTGGTGGTTGAGACCTGTCATTGCAGGCCTGTCTCTCCCTGCTCTCCCTCTTTCCCTCCCTCCTGTCCCCTCCAGCGGCCCTTGCGGTGCCCTTCTGCTGACTCACACAGGAGGAGGCAGTGCTGATTCATCTCCAGGGAGCCTTCCCACACCCACACCCCTCACACCTGCCTAACATATAAGGTATTTCCTGGACAGTCCCTGCTGAGGAGCCAGGTAGACTTCTCAGATGGAGGCCAGATGCCTAGAAGCTGTTTAAAAGCCTTAAGGATGGGCAGGAGGGAACTCGGGGGCAGAAGTGAGAGCTGAACACTGCCAAGCTCTGAACACCCACCCCCTTTCCCCGAAGGTAGTTCAGAGGAAAGGGAAATGGCCTCACTGTCGGGGCCCGGGGTTTAAGCCCCGCCGTTCACTCTGACTCACCGTGCAACCTGGGTGAGCTGCACCACACCTCTGAGCTTAAACTTTTTCCCACAAGGATCCCTTTTACTATTTCTCTGCCGCCCAAAATATGCTTTGAAATATTTTCTCTTAACAAACTGCTTTAAATAATTTATCTAACTATTCCCCGATAGCATGGTTAGCATGAGAGAACCCGTGGTATCACACTGGGTTTGGGTCATTCTGGATTTGCCATGTTGAAATGGGTCTGTGCATTTCCTTTGCTGAAGGGGTCTGACTGACATTGTGGAGCACCTACTGTGTGCTGGGTAATTGCCATATATTATCCCATTTAATTTACATTAAACACAACAATCCCAGGAAATTGGTACAATCTTACCCCTCTTTACAGAGGAGGCAACTGAGCTCAGGGAAGCTTGCCCAAGTTGACACAGTTAATGAGGCATGACTTAAACACAGGTAGTCACCATGGTAAACCTCCTCTATAAACCCCAATCATCAAGAATCTCACCGAGAGCCCTAACCTTTCGATTCCTACTCAGACCAGCCTTGGTCTCTCTGCCCATCCTCTCCCCACTCCCACACCCAACCTCTCATTTCTTCAACTCACTCAGTGCCCAGGATCCCATCTCCTCCACCTGCTCTGGTCTGGTGTCCTCAGTGATCCCCTTTCCTCTGGCCTCCAATTGCACTCTGGCCTGGATTTAAAATAAGCTTAAAATGATTGTACCTCAGATCTCCTACCTCCCTTAACCCTCCTCTTTGCCAAAAATAATGCCACCAGCCACCCAATGACCCAAAGCAGAAACTTGGCTGTCCTCCTAGCCTCCTGCTTCCTCCTCACTGCCCTCCAGGTGTCCAGTCAGGCGACCTATTGTTTCCCTACTACGTGGGGCTCAGCTCTGTCCACACTGCCTGAGATCCCGCCGCATCACCTTGCTCCTGGACTACCGTAAACACATCTGGACTCTTCTCTCACCTCTAAACTTGTCCCCCACTCTGACACCTCCTCAGCTCTGCCACCAGGTTGATCTTCCTCAAATTCAAATCCCAGCATGTCACTCCCCAGGTGAAACGCTGAAGGAATTCCCATAACTTTCAGGAGAAGGCTACCGAGCATGGCACACCTTCCTAGGCACCCAACTTTCCTGATGCACATGCCATGCCCTTCCACGCTTCCGAGCCCTTGCCTAAGCCATTCATTCCCTTGGAAAGTCCTTTCTCGGTTTGGCCCCCTGTCAATCTCCTAATCAACATTTAAATTCAGCTCAAAGATCATGTCCTCTGTGCAGCATCCCTGAATCTACTTCCCAGCCTCTGCACATACTACACAGCAAGAGTGTGCATACACGCACACACACAGAGAGTTAGGTGTTCCCCCATGTACTTCTGCGGCCCTTTGCCCATCGCCCTATGACAGCACATTTCATGTTTATCTGTGAGTGTTTATTTATGTGTGTCCCCCACTAGACTGGGCTGCTAGGAAATAGACACTGAGTATTGTTAATTCCCGGTATCCCTGGTGCCTGACACAGAGCAAGCGCTTGGTGAATGGCCAGATGGAGGCACGAGTGCTGTCCCCCACGGCCACCATCCTCTCTCTTCCCTTCAACACATTTCCAGACACAGGCTCTAAATCTTCTGCTCACACCCTGAACCTTCTAAAAGCTGACTTGCTATC